ATTGGGCTCTCCCCCTTTTCTGGGCAGCCAAAACTCTAAAAAAAACCCCCCCCCCCCCCCCCCCCATCATCTGCCTTTCAAAAACAAGGTTGTATTATATTCTGGGATGTATATATGCAAGAAAATATGGTATATATCATCTTTTAAATCTCTGGGGCAAATTTACTACCAGTGCGTAAGATAAGATTAAACATTAAGATAAAAGATTCAAGCTAAAAGTGGGAGGTGCGAAAGATACACTTTCAAGAAAGGGTCCCGTAGGGTTTTAGAGTATCCCCAAAAAGTCTTTGTATATTTACTCAAATATTCAACTTGGTGAAACTGCCACATGAGGAAAGTGGGATGTTTTGGCAGTTCTGGTAGGTATGTCTGATCAAGATGGCTGCAATGTAATGCAAGAATACAAGCATTGTCACTGAAATTAATTACTTCACTAGAAAAGCAGGAGGAAATCAATCACAGGAAAACCAAGTTGATTAAAGTTAATCCAACTGCTTACTGTGGATTTTTCAGGTGACGTGGGAACATCAAATGTTTCATTAATATGGTTATCCAGGTCTTGCTGGGAGTGAGAGTGATGAATTTGGTTCCAACTGTTCTTTTTAGATTGTTTGGGTGGTAATGCAGGTGGCTGCCCATCTAGAGGGGTCTCCTGGGATCTAGACAGAAGGGTGAAAGTAGAAAACATGTTATTCAGAATTTTCAAAATATAAGATTCCAAAGCAAATTTACTTCCAAAACAAATACCTACAATTAATTTATTTATTTATTTTTACCAAAAAGAAAAGCAATTAGCTCCCACCTTAGATTAAGATTAGCCACCTGCCTGCACGTGATACATCCCTTACTCCCACATAGCAGCAGCAGTTTCTGCCCTGGCACACCTGGACTGGCCTCCAGCATCTGGAAGTGTCCCAGCCAAACCAGGATGTTTGGTCACCCTAATTTTGCAGCTAATTTTTACCAGCAGTACCTCAAAAAAAAGAATAGTTCTAACAAAATCTGTATCTATGAAATGACATGTATGCTCGTTAGACCTGAAAACACAGTGCTCAAAATGAATCAATATACACAGTTATTTCTTCTCCTCGATTAACAGCTCAACTACATACTTATCTACTTACATTAATACACAACTCAGTTTTACAGTAAGACTTTACAATTACAAATTAAAGGAATAATTTTCACAGGTATAAAGGGGTAGTTTAGTGTTTAAAGCCCATGACTGAAAGTAATCTCCTAAACACTAACAAAGGTAGCCCACCTTGCTACCAAACACATGAACCTCTTTTTACTAAACACCCACCTACTTCCTAGATGATTCAGATGGAGCAGCATACTAAAGCTAACCAATAATCATAAGAAAACTCACAAGAGCATCAGTAACTTCCCTCATGTAAATTAGTCCCTCTGACTTCTCTTGTTCTATTCACACAATTAACTGTTAGTAGAATACAGCTCTTATGAGACATTATAGAAGTTCAGCTCACTGCAAGACCTAGCCTCCCTGGGGCAGTCACATGTCTAATTCAATATGGTGCAATTTGTTATTTTCTAGTTATTAAAACAGAAAGCATCACAAAGCTATGGTCATTTTATAGAAAGAAAAGAATATGACTGTAGTAGCATTAAATATTGTGGGTAACATTAAATGAGGCAATATATTGAATATAGAATATTTTCAGATAAACAGTGTTTTTTAAACCACAAAAACAATGTCTTTTCACATGAAGGAAGATGAGGATGGCAATGTTTCACTGAGAAAATTATGTGATTTTTCTCCTTCAGGTTTTCATACAATCTAATAAGTCTCCCTCATTTATTAGAAACAACCTATGTAAATTATGTAAACAGACATAACAGCAGATTTGTGTTATTTCTTGATTTAAAAAGGGGCTTATACCTATTTATAAATTTTGACAGACTGTCTCAATTTCCAAATTTTAGCCAATTAAATTTTTTACATCAACAGATGATGGGAAAAAATATTCATGCTTCTTCTCTCACTTACTTCATTCCCACCCCTACACATCATTAATGTGGCGGAGCCACACAACTGCTTTATTGTTGACCTTTGCCAGGTCCTCATCCTGGGTGTGCTGCACACGGGAGGAGGCGGTCAGCAGTCTGGGGTGCATCACCACACTCGCATATTCGACTGTTCTTTAAGCCAATCATATGTGGCATTAAAGTGGCCAGCTTTGACATGAATCCCGCCTAGTTTAACTCATAAGTTGTGGGGGAGCTTGCACCTGGGTGGACAGGGTGTTGGGTTGCTTCTGAAGCACTTGAGATGAGACTCAGTCTCATCCTCCTTTTTGTGGGGTTTTTTCTGCTCCCACCTCCACACTGTTCCAACAGTACCCGCGTCTCCTATTTAAGTGACTTCCTTGACTTTGGTTGCTTATGTACTGGTTGCTCCAAAACTTCATGAACCAGGTGCTCCTGGTTTTGTTGGGCACACTGAGCAAGGCCAAGGCCAAATATTCAAGCTAATATTTAAAAATGGAATAATGGATGGGTTATAACAAGGTAAAATTCACAGAGAATAGGAACTAAAATAATGTTTAATAAACACTTTTCATAATATTTTCTACACAGAACAGACAATAAAAAGCCATGTTAGCTTCAAACGAGCACAACAGAAACAACTTTTCAATAGTTTTGTAGACAAAGACTGATATTACTAACATTAACCAATTAATTCCCAGCACAATTATAAATTATTTAGGCACTGGCCTATTAATGTCACCTAGGGCTTTTTAACTGCCTGAACATTTATTCATTTAAGAATCTGGTCAAAGTTAACGCACCTTTTTAAAAGTGAAGGGTAGGATAATAGTAGGTTTTTCCTGTGAATTATAACTTTTTAAAGATTGAAAAAAGTATTTAAAAAAAAAAGAGACACACAACAAATAAGCATTTCCAAAAACAAAGTAAATTGGTAGTTTAAGGTTTGGCTTCATTTGTGCACGTGCATCTTAACTTGAGAAATCTCTGTGGAACATAAAGCTAACAGTAAACATTTGAAAAAGTTACTTAAATGAACACTTTGGCAGTAGCAATGCAACTTGCTGCAATATATTAGCATAAAGAATTGTGAGAACTAACAATCCAGCCTTGGGCAAAAACTTCACTGCTTTATATTTGCCCAGTCAGCTTTAAATTTCCTTATGAATGCTTAGACAATGGCAGTGAAAGCAGCCTATTTTACAGTCAAAGCAGCTCTGTGTTGGTACATTCAGCAATTTACATAATAATAAAATAAAACAAAAAAACTCCAGTGACAAGCTTTGTGTGGTTTTGTTAGACATATCAGGTCAGTCTTCTAATATGTTAACAGAAATAGTTTCATATGTGTGGCATAAACGTATTAAAATAAACTCCTATCACCTATTTTAAGAATTAATTTAGACTGTTTTTAATTATCTTACTAAATTACAAGCAGGAACATCCCAATTAACTGTGAAACAGCCAGAGAAATCTAAGCACAAACAACGATATTTAATACTTGCTCTGGTCTCAGTATAATTCACTATTATTTAGAAGGGTTCAACATAAACGTATTTATTCAGGAAAATTTCGATACATTTCTACAACAGCTCTGTCTCTTGAAAAAGGGAAATTATATTCCACATTAATTCTGTCAACAACTCGAGCTTTAAGCATAAGTTTTTTTCAAAAGTAAAAGTTTCCAGAATCTTAAATATAGTATTTTAAAGCTTGTTACCCAGGACTCCAATTTGAATTGATACTCTAGTTGTTTTGCTATGAACTGAATTCAAACTTTACCCCAAATATGTGAGGTTTTAGACACTGATAATTTACCATCTTAATCCTTGGAGTCAAATTTAAATTTTATTTAAAGACTTTTCACCACAAAGGCACATTGAGATGCACTTTATATGCAGTTCTGACAGGAATCAAACCTGTTGTATTGAATTACTTTTGTTGCAAATATTCCATAATTAAAAAAAAACAGCATTACTATTCCTACTACTACTTTTTAAACCTTAGAACAGCAGAAAAAAAGGAGCAAATTTTTATGGCCCTGAAAAGTATATTAAATTAAAATGAAATGTATCATTCTACAATAGTTAAAATAAAATGTGCAATAAATATTTAACCACTGTATTATTGTTCATTCCCTCCTGCATAAAAAGTGTCCATTGTTTACAGTGCAGAGGACATTAAATAAAATAGAGATACTTAAAAAGCATGTGCATTTTGTACATATTTAATGGACAGAGTAAGTGCTCGGCAACACAGTAGCCAGACTTGTTGCCAAGTAGGTACACAGTAGTTTAAAGCATATTTTCTGACACCAGATTCCTTATAACATTCTATATTCTGGTTCCTTTGGAAGTTATCAGATATCGACTCAATCACAGTTCAGCTGAGATTGTCAAAGGAGCCCAAATGAATAGAGCTAATTTTTAGGTACCTAAATACTTAATAATCATTATGCCATTTTCAAAAATGTTCAGTCTGTCTATTTCTAGAACCCAAATCCTAATTTTACCATCACAGCAATTTATAATATTTCTTTATTAATTTTTGGCTTCCCTACCTGTTGACAAAAATACCAATTAAAAAGTTTTAAACACCTCCAAAACAAGGTGGCTGAAACTCCAAAACAGCACCTCTTTCAATGAAGTACTACTTTGGAGCACTTCACTTGTTTTTATGTTTGCCTGGGGGAGGTGGAGAGGGAGGGAAGGGGAGTGGGTGGGTAGCCTACCTGCTGTCCAGCTGCTAGGTCCTGCCTGCTCAAGGTCCCAGGGATTGAGTGTCCACCACCTGCCTGCTCAACTCTTTTGGGATCTTTGCTTTCCCATCCCCTCCATCTTCTATCTCTCTGAGGGTGGCAGAGGGCATTGCTGAAAGTGAAGGTCACTTCAGCTTGCTCTAATGCCCACTGGCAGGCGCTAAAAGGTGGCAGAGTTTTAAAACATACCAGCTAGGGAATGGGACAGTGGGCCTATGCACAGGCTCCAACTAAAACATTTACAAGCACGTTTCACCCAGAAACATTTCAACTGCTACATCTGGAGGCACCATGTTCTCTTGTATCCAATCCCTCCTTTATTCCATGCCATGCTTTATACAATGAACACCTTTACCTGTACCAAGCTACAAAGCCACAAACCCTCTCTTTTCTCAAGTCTTCTCAAATCTTGCTATTGTGATGACCTTAACAAAAAAAAACTCAGCTATTTAATACCTCTATTACTTAATGGAAAAACAAAATGGAAAGTTGGGAAAAGTCACAATATTACCAACCTAAAACTTGAGAGCACATGTACTGAAAAAACATACAAAAAATGTAGACATTTCATTGCCTCACTCTCCACTAACCTTAGCTTGCTGCAAAATGCTCCCAAGCAGGAGGCACATCTACCACTGCTTAGCACCTACTGTCAGGGAGTCCTAATAAGTCACTTCCATTAGGTATGTATCAAACTGCAGTAATGGATCTAAAAATGTCACGGTTTTGAACTGACCTTACTATTCCAACGAGTCTGAAAATGAGAGTTTTATGTTATAGGACAGGAGATTCCCAGCACCTATTCTAACCCTGAAAGTGCAGACATCTCATCAAAAAGTCAAGAAAATTGCGTCTTAGAAACGGCTTATATCACATTAAAGGATTTTTTAAACATATTAATTCCTTACTGCAAAACAATCTGGCACAGTTGGGCTACATAAGCAGAGGAAATAAAAAAACAAGCGAGTCCAAGTAAAACCATAACAACTTTCTGAAGCATTTTTTCTGAGATATAAAACATATATGAAAGACAATGATGTGGGGATGATCTGCATAATTTGGCCATTGAGATCATCTCAAACTTATTCTAATGACATTTTCACACTACATCACCAAGTTTTCAATGCATCTACATAGAAAAGATTAGGTGGTGACTGAGCGATAAAAATGCATATTATGGACTTATCACTTCACCCGAGTTCTGCCTACTCATCCATTTCCAACAGAGTATCTAATGTTTCAAATTTACGAGCACCTTAAAATAATCTCACTTTCAAATAAATCTATCACACATTTCAACATGTTCCTACAAACATAGAATCCCAAACAAAAAGATATTGACTTGGATTCAACATAAATAATTTTATGCCCATCACTACTCCAGAATTAACTTTGTTAACTGGTGACCCTACAAAGGTAGAATCATAGACATTATACCTGTGAAAAAGGAAGATTCTTGCATCTAGAAAAACTGCCGTTTTTCTGATTTTAGATATTATTTTTAGTTTCCCTTCTTTGTAAAAATCTTGAATAATTGGACCCACTGTACTAGAAATGCTCAGATTTACACGGAGGGTGATAATGCAAATTGTTCTAAAGTTTAAAACATGAGGATTTTTTTTAAGTCCCCTGCTCCACTATGTGGCATATACAGAACATAGATTACAGTGATAGAAAGCTTTTGCTGCAACTCATTCTGAATAATTCACATAACACATTTTAAACTTTTGTTCCTTGATAGTAATGCCAATATGGTCTTAATAACCATTTCTCAAACTCACATTCTCTCTCCCATGCTAAGAATAGATACCAGATTTCTTCTGGGACAAAGCCTTTTATTCTGGGATCCTACAGACCTACATGCCCATTGTTTCACTTTAAGTACCTGTGAAGTACTTGAGAGAACACCCTTCTCTCTTCCCCCCTCGCTTGTTTTGATGCAAATGAAAGCTCAGGACAAACAGACCCAGGATAAACCAGACATCTGTTTTTACCCCCAGAAAATAATTCTTGCTTACACACTCAGAGGACATTTATACATGTGTCTGGGAGGTGGGACAGAAGGGGTGGGAGCAGCAGCTTTAATTAGAGCAGCTCCAAGAGCCGCTTTAATTAAAGAGCCCAGAGCATCAACGTCCCTGTGCTGAAAAATAGTGGTGAGGGCGCTTTAACTAAAGCTCAGCAAACAAGCTTTAGTTAAAGTACCCCACTGCCATTTTTCAGTGCAGGGACACTGATACACAACACTGGAATCTGCTGGAACGCAGCAATAATCGTGCTCCAGCAGACTTGATTAATCTGCTCTGACACACAATTAATCCAAGCCTGCTGTGACACACTGTAATTACAGCGCATTGGAGCAGCCTCGCTGCACGTGTACAGGCACCAAGAATGACAGTCACGTAACCTGCATCAGGCTCTTATTTTGGTAACATTTTTTCTTCTCATGGGGTCTGTTAAGTAATGTCCTCTAAAATCTATTCCCTGCAGGTAATTTTTCTGGGTCTGGTTTTACTGATAAAAATTACAAAAAATTAGTATACTGTTCAAGGGAGAGACTACAAATATTGGAGCCCCTGGAAGTTACTGAAGTATAACGATTAGTCAAACTTACGGCGATGACTCTAGGATGATGCTGTTAGCCTGAGTGGAAGATGGAGATCTGTGATTTGCAAAAACTTCACTTGGTGAGGTGTGAACTACATGGTCCACTAAGTAACCAACTGAAGATGGTCGTAAACGGGTTCCCTCTTGAGTGAAAGCAGAGTTGCGACTAAATGGGGGAAAAATAGTCAAGTAGTTGGAAAAAATCTCAAAATGCAAAAACATTTAATTTCCCCTTTTTTAAAAAAAAAAAGAGCTGCCTTCTAAATGTAAGCATATGATCCTATAAATAATTTTAACAAACTCAATAGTGAATTCTCATTCTATTAAGAGAACCTCTCTCAAATCTTTAAATTAAAAGTTTAAAAATTTATTAAAACAATAACAGAATCAGATAAATTAGCTATTATTCATAATTACTGCATACAATGTTTCAAAAATCCTTTTGTCATAAATACTAAAGGTCATTCATATAATAGTTCTAGGAAAGAATAAATAAATTGCACTTTAAGTGCTACAGTCCAATGGATGGGTCACTGGACAGTTGGAAAGACCTGGGGTAAAATTCTGCCCCTACTGAAGTCAATAGCAACCATCCACCTAGTTCAAAAGAGTCGGGATTTCAGGTCTAGAATTCTATTTCTAGCCAAGTCGTGAACCTTGTTGTAGGACACATTTCATTTCTATCTCAGTCTACTTCTGGATATATGGCAGTTACTTTCATTTTCATCCACAGAGTTCATAGCTTTTAGAAAGTGCTATTTAAGGTGTACGGCATTATTATTCAACCCATAAAAATCTCAAATTTAGATTATGTCATATATTAACATAACATTCACTGGAATAACTGTTCTGAGGACAAAAGAATCAGAAATCATCACCCCTTATGCAATAATGAACTAGAAGGTTCTAACTCAGAATTTGTTTCAATACAATGAAAGAATCGTTTTGTTATTTTATAGCAGAAAAGCAAGAATGCTTTTCATTAATCATAACCGTAACAAAAGTACTTTATGATCTTTTAAGGAGTAAGGTTTGCAAAGAACAAGAGGACTAAGCCAAAGAACCCCCACAAACATTTTCTGATGTCCATCACCTTGTCATTTTCCTGGAAGAGCTTTTAACAGAAGTGGTGCATTATGTAGTCAAAATGTTAAAAAAGCTACTGCAATTTAAGCACCTAATATTACACTTCCTATAATGCTGCATCTCTCTGAGATGTACTTGAAGTGATTATCAGTAAAATTAAGTTTACAGTTCTAAATAAAGGAAGATTAAAAAACCTGTTTGTTGAAATTACCGTGAAACTGAAATAGATTAATTTTGGTAAAGAATTAATTGAACAAGTGAATTTATTTATAAATAAGGATGGACAGACATGCTTGTAAGAGCATATCATTCTACTTACTGATTTGGGGTTCCAGGTGGAGATCGTGATGGTAGGCTCTGAGTTTCTAACCTGTCATCTGACAGTGAATTTCTACTTACTACCTCCCAGTCCATTCCACTCATCAATTTCCGTGCCAATGGTTTACTTGGGGACCTAAAAGAATAAATGAAAATAATTTACCCTAAAATGCTATTATTTATATAAAGCTATTAGACTAAATTAGGAGCCCCGCTCCACAGAAGAGGAAAGGCATGATTGAGGAAGAGCACTAGTGACTATCTATCATAATGAAGAAAGCCAAGTTAAGAAAATAAAATCTGCTGTGTAAAAAACTAGATAGGAATATCAGTACTAAAAATCTCCTATAAGAACAGCTATAGCCTTTAATATATAGAGATGGATTTGGAAATTGGTATATGAGTCTGGATTCTTCTAGGGTCACCTCTTAAAGAAAGATGTGATGTATTTCTGCTCCTGACATAAGCTGACACAAAAAGGCAGGTATAGAGCCATTAGAAGCAAAAAGCTGATGAGCTAAAAGTGCACGGACTCCCTCCCTTCACTTACTTGCTTTCCAGTAAGGGTAAAAGAATAGATTCCAATATGAAATTGAATAAATACTCTAATTTATCCTGCCTGTTTTCTTTTCTACCTTACTGTTTTAAGACTTCTTATAAACTTCTCAAAACTTATCAAGTACCATCCTAAAATAGATTAGCTCTTTGCCTTATTGCTCCTGTTGGAAGGCCGAGTTGGAATCTCCTTCCCCTGTATGTAGTTAGAAACCTGATTTCCAGTCTAAATTTATTCACAGCTGATTTATACTTTTTTGTTCCTGTTCCAACACGGTCCTTTAGCTTAAGTTGTTCTCCTCCCTCCTAGATGTATTTATATAAACATCATCATATCTTATCTATCTTCACTTAGCCAGGTTAAGCCAGCCAACTTCTTTTAGTAAAATGGATTCTCCATTTTCCTGACCATCCTAATTACTCTACTTGGCATCTGTTCCAATTCAAATTCATCTTTCTTTAACAGGGGTGACCAGAATGGTATGCAGTATTCCCTCTGTGTACTGGAAATATCCTGTCTAATACATTTATGATTGTTTTTGCTCTTTTTGTGACCATAACATATAGGTAGCTTGTAGTCACTCTCATACACTAATATAACCCAGATCTTTTTTCATCTGTCTTTTCCAACTGGATAGCAGGAATTCTTATTAGTAGTCCCTAAGCACACAATCTGGCACTTGACACCAAATATCATCTCTTTTTCTCCTCTTACACCACTCCTCCCAAAGGTCATTCAGTTCCTCCTGAACCTTATTTTGATTCTCCTTTGTTTTGCTGATGCCTCACAATTTTGTCATCACCTGGCTTCATTTTATGCCACGGTTATTTCATATCTCTTCCCCATTATCTCCCTGCATTTAAGTATTCTTTGCTCCAAATTTGTTTTACAGCCTTGAAAACTACTGAGATAAAACTTAACAGGCTTTCAGTTGTCCAGATCACACTTCCCCCTTTTTAAAAATAGAGACCTCTCTTCTTCTCCAGTAGAAGTGTTACTCCTGCTTGATAGATTTATTAAAATTTCTTGTCATCAGACTCGCAATCATGCGCGCCAGTTTTTTCAGCATTTTAGAACCAAGATTATTTTGCCCCTTGGTTTGTGCCTAGCAGCTCCTCTGAAGTTTGCCCCAGTCTCAAGTGTGGCAACTGCCAATGCTACATTCTCAACCCCAGTGGCCACCATGCCACTGCCCTATAATTCTAATATAATAAAAGCCATAGTGCATCCATCTGTGCGTCTGTCCATCCATAACACTCTGGGCCAACTGCACGTGCCACCCAGAGCCTTATGGACAGATGGACACACAGGTGGAGGCGGTTGGGTCCAGGGTGTGCTCCCCACTGCGGGGGGACCGGCCCCAGGGTGCGGTGCGAGATGTGTGGCCATGTGTGGGGGCATGGCATGCAGCATGCTGGGGGCATGGCATGCGGCTGCAGGGTGCTGTGCAGGGAGTGGGCAGTGCATGCCGGCTGCAGCACGCTGCCACTGGGCAAGGTGTGCACCCCGAACCTGCTCTCTGCAGCCATGCGCTATGCCCCCTCCCCTGGGCTGGGAGCATGCACTGGCTGCAGCTGTGGGGCACGCAGGGTGGGGACGTGGTGTGCAGCCACACCGTGCCATAAGGGAAGTGGGCACGCGGGGGTGGGCAGCACCTGTAGCATGCAGCTGTGGAGTGGGGTGTCCCCCCCGCGCAGCCATGCACCATGCCCATTCACGCAGTGGTGGTGGGCAGGGCGGGGCGGAGTGGGGCGGAGTGGGGCTGGATGCAG